GGGCCTGCAGAGGACATCTGGTACCATAACAGTGGAAGGCGGGCAGAACGAATTGGTAACTACCCCAGCCAGCATAGACAGCAAATATCTAGGCAATTGGAGCATGTCAACCAATGGACCTTGGAAGGATCTCATCATCCTTGGAATAGCTGAGATTGATACCATTTCAAAACTATCAAAACCACTTGAGCAGAACTCTCCGATTATGTGTCACATCTGGGACCCTGGGACGACATCGGGTGGCTGTTCCCCATCCCCGGGTAATGAGGCAGTTGGGAGGCTGGCTGTGGCTTCTCCCCTTCTCTAACCCTTCCCCCCAGATACAGAAGGAAGAAAAGGAAAATTTGGAAACAGTGGTCTTACCCACTTTCATCGGATCCCTCTTACCCTAACCAACTATGTAAACATCATCAAAGTAAAAATTAAATAGTACTTAAAAGATTTCAGAAACATTAAACCTTTGCCAAACAAATTGACAGGAATTATACATTAGTGTAAATTTTAATGACTTCATGATTATTCTAAATGTAGATGAAGTCAAACATTTTTCCTTTGGTTATGGTGTATAGCCCTAGCCCATTTCCTGCTGGGCTACGCTATTTTTACTTTTTTATTTTTTTTTAAGATCTGTATAATTTTATTGGAAAGGTGGATTTACAGAGAGAAGGAGAGAAAGATCTGCATTCACTGGTTTACTCCCCAAATAGATGCAACAGTTGGGGCTGAGGTAACTTGAAGCTAGGAGCTTCTTCTGGGTCTCCCACATGTGTGCAGCAGCCCAAGGGCTACAGTCATCCACTACTGGTCTCCCAGACCACAAGCAGTGAGCTGGAAGAGCAGTGCAGCAGCAGGGACACAAGCTGGCACCCATATGGGATCCTGGCACTTGGAGAATTAACCAGTAGGCTACGCTTTTGCCTACCATGCCAACATCCCATATGGGAGCCGATTTGAGTCCCAGTTGCTCCAGTTTTGATCCAGCTTTCTACTGGTGGCCTGGGAAGGCATTGGGGGCGGCCAGGTGTTTAGGCCCCTGCATCCACATGTGAGACCAGGAAGAGACTCCTAGCTTCGGGCTCCTGACTTCGGATCAGCCCAACTCTAGTTGTTGCAGATATTTAGGGAGTGAAGCAGTAAATGGAAGATCTCTCTCTCTCTCTCTCTCTCTTTCTTTAACTCTGCCTTTCAGATAAAAATAAATAAATCTAGGCCCTGGGACAATAGTCTAGAGGCTTAAGTCCTCTCCTTGCATGTGCCAAGATCCCTTATAGATGTCTGTTTGTGTCCTAGCAGCTCCACTTCCCTTCTAGCTCCCTGCTTGTGGCCTGGGAAAGCAGTAGAGGATGGCCCAAAGCCTTGGGACCCTGCACCCGCGTGGGAGACCTGGAAAAAGCTCCTGGCTCCTGGCTTCGGATGAACTCAGCTCTGGCCATTGAGGCAAGTTGGGAAGTGAACCAGCGATGGAAGATCTTTCTGTCTACTTTTCTTCATAAATCTGGCTTTCCAATAAAAATACATCTTTCATAAAAAATAAATAAAAAGTAATATTTGTAAAACTTTCGCAGTTTCATATGCTCCCCGCCCCTCCCCCTCCCACCACAAGGCCCCAGCTGCTGTGGGTTGCACTTTGAAACTCAAGAAAAACTATGAAAGGAGATGACAGAAATTTGGGGAAAAGAAACATGTTTCTGGTATTTGGGATACTGACAAACTTCAGGGTTTGAGACGCACTTAACCAGATGTGAATACCACCAGGAGCAGATGTGCAAGAAAAGTGAGTTTCACATATTCTCTTGACAATTTTTTTAAAGATTTATTTATTTTGATTGGAAAAGCAGATTTACACAGAGGTCGGGGGGGCATCTTCTGTCCACTGGGTTCACTCCTCCAAGTGGCCACAGTGGCCAGAGCTGAGCCACACGGGTGTAGGGTCTCCAGGCTTTGGGAGCTGGATGGGAAGTGGAGTCGCCAGGAAACGAACTGGCACCCATATAGGAACCCAGCACGTGCAAGGTGTTGATTTAGCCATTAGGCCCTTTTGAAATGATATTTTTAAAAACGCATTCCAAGGGGCTGGTGTTGTGATGCAGCTGGTTAAGCCACTGCTTACAACTCCAGCATCACATATCGGAGCATCCATTAGCGTGCCTGCTGCCCTGCTTCCAGTCGAGCTTTTCTGCTGATGTACCTGGGAAGGCAGTAGAAGGTGTTCTAAGTACCTGGGCCCTTGCCACCCAAGTTGGAGACCTGGTTGGAGTTGGAGCTCCTGGTTTTTTTCTGGCCCAACCCCTGCCATTGCAGGCCTCTGGGGAGTAAACCAGTGGGTGGAAGATTCTCTCTTCCCACCTCCCTTTCTTCTTCACTGTCACTCTTCCTTTCAAATAAAGACATTTTTTAAAAGTCAAGATTACTTGTTTTTATTGTAATGCCTTTACAATGACAGAGAGATCACCATCCACTGGATCATTCCTCAAGTGCTGCAATGGCTGGAGCTGGGCCAGTCTGAAGCCAGAAGTTTGGGAGCTTCTTCCAGTTCTCCCAGGAGCACTCAGGGACCCAAGCACCCAAGCCATCCTCCACTGCCTTGCCAGGCCACCAGCAGAGACCTTCTTGGAAGTGGAACAGTCAGGACTCAAACCAGCCCCTATATGGGACCCTGGCACCATGTGAAGGCTTAGCCTACTGGCCCCTAAACTTTTTTTTTTTAACTTAAAAATGTATTCCAATTTCTGGGCCTAGCATCATAGCCTAGTGACTAAAATCCTTGCCTTGCATGCACCAGCAACCTCCTCTAGGTGCCAATTTGTGTCCTGGCAGCCCCGCTTCCCATCCAGCTCTCTGCTTATGGCCTGGGAAAGCATTGGAGGACAGCCCAAGCCCTTGGGACCCTGCACCCCCGTGGGAGACCAGGAAGAGATCCTGGCTTCTGGCTTCGGATTGGCACAGGTCCAGCTGATATGGCCACTTGGGAAGTGATTCAACAGACAGAAGATCTTCCTCTCTGTCTCTCCTCCTCTTTGTATATCTGACTTTCTAATAAAACTAAATGAATTTGTTTAAAAAATGCATTCCAACTTCATAATGTTTTATACGGTAGTATGCATTATGGCACTTTTTGCTCTGAAGAAAGTAATAGCAAAAAAGTGAGTTCAGGCTTAATCCATCAATGCTGTTATCACAAAAAGCCAGGTGATTGTGACCACAGGGATATTTGCTTAACTGCATGGGAAACTGCTGTGATCCCATTCTGAACATCTCAGTGGGTCTGAAATGATTTGCTGTTTATTTGTGACAAGCTCCTTGTGCTACAGGTGTGTCAGACAAGCGTTCTAACAGGAAGTCAGCTTTGGCTGCATGGTTACTTCAATGGACTCTTCAACAAGTGAGGCTAGTGGGAGGAAGGAAGGACGAGGAAGGTGTGGAAGCTGGTCGAGGGCTAGAGGGCTCAGGGCATCTGCTAAGTGGGGGCTGGTGGGCTCCAGCTAGATCCCCCACTGGACTTGAACCTCACCACAGGGAGTGTCTGAAGCAAGGGAAAGTCTTCGGGTCCCCCAGATTAGAGATTCGCCCCCACTCTCTTCCCTTCCTTGACTCTGGGAACAACTGGGTGAGAGACGAAGGAGGCCTCTGTGTTCTCCACCTTAAGGGCAGGAAGGGAGAAGACCACTTCACCTTGGCAATGAACACGGACCGGAGATGAATTTCTCCCAGAGCTGGGAGCGGGTTCAGCATGAGCTCAGAAAACCTGTGGGGGCAAGTCCTGCTCCGCCGCTTCCCTGGGGAGAAGGGATGACTTCATAAAATGTTGCAACCTCGGAGCTGGAAGGGACCTCCCAACAATCAATCTAAACTTCGTGTTGCCATAGAACCTGTTCTTTCAATAAAATCTCCTGGAAAGCGCCCTGCAAACCCCTACGAATCAGGTTTGTTCGGTGGCAGGGGAGGGGTGGGGAGGGCCTGTTTACACGGTGAGATAGTCTCGGCAAACTACCCCGGAGGAACTCCTCGCTCTCGCTTATGTCCAGGGGCCACAAGGGATAAAGTGGGCCAAGTCGGACCTCCGAGCCCTGGGGGAAGTTTTTCACCCCAGAGCGGGACATGAGGTGGACCCCCTGAGGGTGTCACCCAAGGTGGACAGGGGACCGCGAGACCGACTCTCAGCAGGGGGCGCCCTTGTCCCGAGGAAGTTGGGGTTCTCTCTTGGCCGCCTCCGGCTCCGCAGGTTTAGAAACGGGTGGGAGGCCACCTCAGGAGCACAAGCCCCCGCTTTCCGGCGTTTTCACCACCGCGTCTCACTGGTTCTCACTTCAGTGAGCGAAACCCTCGGTGTGACGGAGATATCTGAAAATGCGGGCGGGAGGGGGCGAGTTGGAGACATGACACACAAGCTAAGGAAGCAGAGCCTTCCAAAGGGCCCCGTGCGGGAGGAGGAAGGGTCAAGTTCGGGCTTTGTCTTCGGGTGGTCCCAACAAGCATGGCACGTCAGGCGTCAGCTTCCCTTCTGCCAACTAGCACCCCCCAGCTTCCACTCTGGACTCCAGCGGGATCCCTAAGAGGGACGCCAGCCCCCGTAAGTGTCAATGAACGGGCTGGTAGGATTGTTTTCTTATTTAAAGTTCCTATTTAAGAGGCAGGCTTGAGCACTCCGGGCAGCCACGTGAAAGGACTGGAGGCTATAAGCGGCGGGTGGCACTTGGGGGGCGATAACCGTGGCTTTCACTAGCGCTCCGCCCGCGACCCGTGCCACTCCCCGCCGCCGCCGAGCCGAGCGCCCAGGCCGCACGCCGCTCCCCTAGGAACGCCGGCGCCATGCCGCGCGCGGCCCGGGACAGCGCCGCCCTGGATGCCCCGCCCCCGCCGCGTCAGCGCGCAGCTGCGCAGGGGCGTTTCCCAGGGCGTGCCGCGGTTGCTAGGCGACCAGGCCGCGCCTCCTCCCGCCCCGCGCTGGCTCTCTCCGCCCGCGTTCCGGGCAGAGGAGCGAGCCGAGGCGCGCGGAGCTGCAGCGTCTGGCTGGCGGAATCCCCAGGGGATCGTCTCGCCCAGGAGGCAGCCGCCCCGGCGCAGGTGGCCTGGGCCTGCCGTCCCTTCCAACCGCCGCCCCTCCCCCGCGTGGGGGGTCCCGAGAGCGCGGATGGGAGGCACGGCTCGCGGGCCCGGACGGAAGGATGCGGGGCCGTGCGGGGCCGGGCTCCCACCCCAGCAGCGGAGGTAACGGCGCCGCGGGGTAACGGGCTGGGGGCGGGCGGGGCCCCGAGGGAGCGGCTGGCGCTGGCCGGCGAGGCCGGGGTTGGGGGGAGGGGGCGGGGACGGCCGGAGGTGGAACGAGCTCCCGGGCTGGGCGGACGGGCTGGGGGGACGGAGCTGGCAGGGTCCCCGGACCGGTCGCTCCTCCCCTCGCGTCGCCCCAGCCTGCGGGGAGCGGGGAGGGGGCGCCGGCGCAGCCAGGGCCGGAGGAGGGGAGGGGGATCGGCAGCCCCGTTCTTGCTGAAGCCGGTGGGTGGCGGGCTCCTGGTGAGGGGTCGCGAGAAGCTGTGACTTTTTGTGGGGCTCTTTGGCGAACCGGGGGAGCCGGGGCGGGCGACACCTTTGCAGGAAGCCCTGTTGCTCTGACTTGGCGTTATGCGGAGGAGGTGCGGGCCCCGTGTCGCCCTTGCAGGTGAGGGGACATCTTGGGTTCTTGGGCTGCCTTTCCGCCCCTAAACGTGGACGTTTGTCCCGGTCTGTTTGGAAGTGCTTAGGCCGAAGGGTCCGTCAGCCCCCGCAGGATATTTAGCTTCTGATCGTCATGTTGCCCAAATGCAGCCGTCAGAATGTGAGCAAGTGTTTAAAAGAACATTCCAAAAATACTGGCAGGGTCTTTTTTTTTTTTTTTTTATCCTTTTGTATGCCTATAACACATCAGCAAGAAAACTCTGGAACTAATTTTACAGAATCTTTTTTTAAAAGGCAGCTAAATTATGCCAGGTTATTTAAAAAGATAGTTTAGAGTTCTTCGCCTGTTACACTGTACTTGTATTCCTAGTATAGCAATAAAGTGATACAATGATATTCTGTGTCCCTGGAAAACCCATATTCTTGAGAACAGATAAGCTACATTATTCAGGGCCATCTTGTGAATTAAATCCACGTCTTGTGGATCAAAGAACAGAGAAGAGAGCTTGACTCATTTAGCATCTTGCCTTCATCTTCGACCAGGAAGTGAAATGGGAGCAGAGGTGACGCTGGGAACATGCTGTGTTCACTGTATGCTTCTTTACAAGTTAAGCGGATCCACCTCACATAGTGGCTGAGGAAGTTCGTGAGTAGGTGAAGTCAGTTCTAAAAAGGCCTTCTGTTTTATGCCTGTAAGACCACATGTGTGTAGGTGGGCATGTGTGTGTGTAAGCAGGCACACGTATGTGTGCAGGCTCGGAGGGCAGCCAGCCTCACGCGGGCCTGAGATCAGAACCCAGGACTGACTGGGCAGAAGCAGTGAGGTCATGTCACCTTTCTGTCATCTTCAGGTTCAAATGCCTTTGTTTCAAGTAGAGAATTCAGTGAGGGCTTCTTGGAAGCCTCTGCTTTTTGTTTTGTGTTTTTGGACAACCTTTAGAAATTAAGACTTGTTTGGTTTTTAAAGGGCAGACTTAGAAACATTGTCTTTAACAAGTTAAAAGAAGTGGCTAGTGTTGTGGCATAGCCTGCTAAGTTGTCACTGCGGCTCCACCCCCATCCTGTCTGGACACTGTTGCTATGTGATCTAGCTCTGCTAATGTCTGGGAAAGCAGCAGAAGATGGCCCAAGTGCTTGGACTCCTGTACCCATGTGGGCCAGCTGGGTGAAGGACCTGGTTCCTGGCTTTGGCCAGTGTGACCATTTGAGGATGAACCAGCAGAGAGGACACCTTCTCAGCTCTCATATTTATGTAATTCTAGCTTTCAAATAAATATGTTTAAAAAAAAAAACAAACGGGAGGATAAAGTTGGGTTTCCTCTGTTCCACTGCCTGCCGCCTTTTGTAGCAGAGGTAGCTGTTGACCCAAGGTGTCTTGGTTGGAAATGCAGATTTATACTCTTTGATTACTGACAGGTGTTTTTTTCCTTTTTTTCCTCCTGTGTTCTTTTCTACCAGGTTGGGAGATGGTGTCTATGATACTTTCATGATGATAGATGAAACTAAATGCCCACCCTATTCAAATGCCCTGTGCCATCCCGCTGACCCAGCTCTGCCCAGAAGAGTGAATGTAAGTACTCTGGCCCCTGAGTGTCTGGAGGGGAGGAAGTGCTCCCGAGGGCGGCAGGTGCAACCCCGGATTGCCAGCACCACAAACTCCTTTTGGCTTGCTTGTTTCCTTTTTGGGTTCTCCTGTCTTCAGAACAATTTCTGGGGTCCAAGTTGAGCCCCCTCTCTGTTGTTTTTGATTTGGGGCTCACCTTTTCCTTTGCTTTTGTTCCCACGGGGCTCAGTAGGTGGCACGAGGAAAGAAAATGACATGTGACATTTATGTAGGTAAAGTTTGCTTTCCTAGAGGGTGTCATACCTGGGACGTTACAAAACCTGCTTTTAAATCATGACTCCTTATGAAGGACTATACTATTGTAGCAATGTGGGGGAAATCAGTCAGGGCTGGGATTTTGGTGGGTGCAGAACTCCCAGTCTCTATGAAATTGTACTATAAAATTCAAAAATTCAAAATAAAAATTTAACAAAAAAATTACATTATAAAAACCCTCCTTTCAATAAGAACACAGAGGAAATAGCCTGGAATTTATACATCTGTGATTGCTTTCCTTGTGAGGCAGAAATGCAATTCCAGATTATCAGAACACTCCTAAAAGAGAGCCATTTGAAGGATCCCAAATACAGTTTGCTTGTCTGATGTGTTTAATCGTTTTGAGGGCTGTAGATGCTTAGCTTCCGACCTTATTCTCCGTAATGTAATGATAGAAGGTAATTCCCTCTGCCTGTAGAGTAGGCAGAGCAGCATTGGGATACGTTCCAGGACAAGGAGAAGCCGGCCTGTGACTTCAGAACTCACCGCAGGTGTTGTCTGAGGAGACAAGTGGATTGCGGAATTGACTAGTTGGTAGGACTGCTTTTCCACACTCTGTGTGTTACAGCCTGAAATTGTTTCTGTGTGGAAACAATTACTTCTCCTTCGCATGATTTTTTCCAAGTTTTCATCTCTTTTTGCTGTCAAGAGCGACCTTTTTACCACTTGCAATGTAAATATTACAAAGCATGTACTAAAAATACTGGGAGGGCTGGCTATCCTATTTTTAATCTTTCTGGAATGTGGTAGGGTTTCTTTCTATTTCTACCAAGAGTTTGTTTCTTCAGTATGTCAAAGCCTCCATGGGCCCTGGAGCCACTGCCCCTGTGTTGACCATCAGACATCATCCATCGTTGCTGCACTTGTCATGGCTCTGGGCTGATGTGTCACCACCTGATTTCAAGTTGGTGTTCACTTTAATTCAGAGTTGGCCAACTCCGATCACCTTCCAGGAGGCTCCCTCAATTGACTGTTTCAGGATCAAAGTGAATTTATGACTGTATAGTGCTCAGAGAGCAGTTCTTATCAAACATAAGATTTTAGATTCTAACCTACTAGTACTTTGCGAACTTTCCTGAGAATGTTTTTGACTTCTTGGTGACGCTTAGAGTTCATGATGTCATGACTCCCTCCCGAGCCCGTGTTGCTGTTTTCACAAAGTCAATTCAACTTTGTTGTTTGCTGAGATGCTCTTAGGTTCTCGTTGTAAACAGTAAGTTATCTACAGATGGACTTGCCTTGGGATGAGTTTTGTGTTGCAGGATTTAGGATTGGAGCTGGCAGGTAGCAAGGGTTTTATATCTGAGTGAGAAGGATGTTCCTGCTGAATTTCTCAACAAGATCTCTTATGAGTTAATTAATACAGTGTAGGATCCTGCCTGGAACACCATGAGCCTTCCAAATTAACAGCATATGTGAAAGCATTCTTTATTTTTTTTTTCTCTTAAAAATTTGTTCCTGAGGGACTAGCATGTGGTATTCTGAGCTGTCACCTGTGATGCCAGCATTTTGTATGGGCATGGGTTTGGTTCCTGGCTGCTTCAGTTCTAATCCAGCTCCCTGTTGATGGCCTGAAAGAGCAACAGAGAGTGGCTCAAGTCCTGGGGTGCCAGTACCCATGTGGGAGACCCTACTGAAACTCCTGCCTTTGGCCTGGCCCAGCCCTGGCTGTTATAGCCATTTGGGAAGTAAATCAGCAGGTGGCATATCTATCTGTCTGTCTGTGTCTCTCTCTTGCTTGCTCATTAATTCCAAATAAATAAACAAATCTTTCTAAAGAGATATCTTGATTTAATGAAGTCAGTTACAGAGGAGAGAGAATCCTCAGACTCCATCTGAGTCTCCCTCGAGGGTGGCAGGGGCCCACATCTTGGGCCCATCTTCTGATGTTTTGCTCAAGGCCATTAGCAGGGAGCTGGATGGGAAGTGGAGCAGCCAGGACATGAACAGGTGTCTATATAGGATGTTGGTGTCAGTTAGTGGCCTTACCGGCTGTGTGACAGCACCAGCCTGCTGCAAAACATTCTTAAGAAATAAAGCTTTTCATTTCTTCAGTGACACATTGGCCATTCAGCAGCATGTTATTTAGCTTCATGTTATGAATTCTCTTTTTTCTCTGTTGTCGATTCTGTTTTATGGTTCTTCATTTAAGGGGATATATAGTAACTGTGTAGTAAAGACTATCACATCACATACAGATGTGAAGATACAATGTAGTGTGCATCTCTACTTCCAAGGATGGACTGCCAATGGCACTGCTGAATGTATCAGAATAGGATGCTAGACTCTTTGCCAGTGTTCATGCCTACAATGTCAGGATACACTAAAATAGCAAAATGGTGGACTTATGATTGATTGTGAAGGCCTATGGTATTGTAATGACATGGAAGAAATTAGTCGGGGGAGAGGGATTTGAGGAGAAGACAAAGGAAATCCCAGAACCTATAGAACTGTATCAAGGAATAATAAAATTAATCAGTTAATTTTAAAAATTAAGCATGATAAGCCTGGAATTATTTGTCTCTAGATTTAATTACATGAATAATAAAATATTTAATAGAGCAGACCATATGTATCATTGGTTACTTGGATTATAATCCTAGACTAGAAATATGTACTATTCTGTAACTATTACACTTAAACCTGTGTGAACATTGTAGAATCTCCCCAGAACAATGGAAGGCTTGTTTATGGTACACAGGACTTGCTGTGTAATTGGTTCAGGCCAGATTTTGAGGTGTTTACAGGAAGGGAAAGATAGATAAGGAAAGAACCTTTCCTTGGGTGGAACATCTTCCTGGAATTGTCCAGGTTCATTGGCAATGGACACACCTTAACCTGTGCAGGGCTACACCTGCAGCTGTGCTGAGGGTAACGGGGGTGGGGGGTGGGCGGGTGGAGAAGCTACAGAGCCAGCAGGGGTGGGGCAGGGGCAGCCCCCTTGTAGGGACCTGAAGGGCTCTGATGTAAGTCTGGGAAGGCTGGGGCAGTCAGGGCAGACATAGGAGCCCGGGAATCCCCAAGGCTTCTGTGATGGGCTGGTGCGTGTCTTGTGGACACTCATGTGTTTTCTGTTGTGTGTCTGTTCTCATGGCTGTGCTTTGCCTGAGACCCTTTCTGTATCCTCCGTGGAAGTGAAACTCTCAGAGCCAGTAGCCATAGTAGGTGATGCTCCCAGCTTGGACCCTTGACCACAGATGTAGCAGGTTGAGAGGAGTGGGTTTTATGCCAGGGAGAGAGTGGGTGAGGCAGATCTGTGAATCTGCAGGAAGGAGGAAGGCCTGTTGTGGGGGCTCTCACCCAGCACTGAGCAGAAGGCAGTCAGTGCTGTTGCCTTCGGGCGGTGGGAGGGGCAGAGACATCACCAGGGCAGAGAGAGAAAAGTAGAAGGGGAGGGCCCAGCGAAAGTACTGGCCTTGGGTGCACGTTCTAATCCTGGCAGCTCCACTTTCCAGGCTTGTGGCCTGGGAAAGCAGTCGGATGGCCCAAGGCCTTGGGATCCTGCACCTATCTGGGATGCCCAGAGGAGGCTCCAGGCTTTGGGTTGATGCAGCTCCAACTGTTGCAGCTGCTTGAGGAGTGAGTCATCGAATGGAAGACCTTCCTCTCTGTCCTCCTCTCTGTACATCTGACTTTCCAAAAAAAAATGTAAAAGGGGAGAGTGATTGGAAGTTTAAATCTTAATACATTAACATGGCCTAAGTATAACTACTGGTTTTAAAAAACTTTGTATGGCTTGTTAGGGTCTTTCACATACACTTCCATTATTCGGTCCACACAGCATCCTGCTAATAGGTACCATTATCCACATTTTTTTTTTCTTAGATTTACTTGTTTTTATTTGAAAGGCAGATTTACAGAGAAAAGGAGAGATTTCCCATCTGCTGGTTCACTCCCCAGTTGGTAACAATACTCAGAACTAAGCCTATTCAGAGCCAGGAGCTCCTTTTGGGTCTCTCATCTGGGACTTGGATCATCATCCACTGCTTTCCCAATCCAAAGGTAGGGAGCCGGATGGAAGTGAAACTTCCAGGACATGGCCTGCCTCTCATGTGGATGCCAGCACTGCAGGAGGATTAGCCTGTTGAGCTACCATGGCAGCCCCCATCATCCACATAGTACAGATAAAGACATTTAGGCTAGGAAAGGTTGAAGGAACCTCTCCAGGGATCCCCAGATTTTTCAATTGTGTGGGCAATGTAGCCCCAAGACCTTGGCAGTAGATGTTCAGAGGCATTAAAGCTGGGTAGTAAATATTTCCAGGAAGTTAAGATAATGCGGATGTTCATTTTCTAGATGTAAATCTAAACACTAAAAGCAATGGAAAGTCTTTCCCTGGTTCAGCTGAACTTATTTCCTAATAATTTGTAGCTCCTGAAGAATGCTTGGCGTTTCTTAGCACAGGTGTAAGTAATGAACAAGTTCAGGTGACAGGTGGAAAGAGGCATTGGCCTGTTTTTGTTTCTCCAGTTCTAAATCAGGAGTGGCTGTTTGACTTATCGGTAGACATTGTACTTTTGTGCGTTTCGTCAGGGTATTTAGGTTCTGTCTGCAAGCTTATTTATTTTCCCTGTTCAGTGAGGGTACCAGTTTTGGTGTCTGAGAGACTATACCAGGTCGCTGTCCAGCCTCTTTGAGATTGTGGAGCTGAATTGACTGTTTCCCTTTTGCTTAGGATCACATAATAATTCTCATAACTGTCGGTTCTCTATAAGTGTTTAAATTGATGAGATGGTATAAAAGGAACAGGCAGGAGCCAATGTGCTACTTTCATAAACTAGATTAGAGGCTGCCTGAGGTATGCCAGCATTTTTTTTTTTTTATTGCAAAATCGGATATACAGAGAGGAGGAGAGACAGAGAAGATCTTGCATTTGCTGATTCATCTCCCAAGCGGCTGCAACGGCTGGAGCTAAGCCGATCCGAAACTAGGAGCCAGGATCTTCTTCCTGGTCTCCCGTACACGTGCGGGGTCCCAAAGCCTTGTACCATCCTTGATTGTTTTCCCAGGCCACAAACAGGTTGCTGAATGGGAAGTAGGGCTGCCAGGATTGGAAGCGGCACTCACATGGGATCCCGGTGCATTCAAAGCGAGGATTTTAGCTACTAGGCTTCTTTCTAATCCTGTAACATATTCCGTTTTCCACCTTTAAAGCAGTTTTACGTGAAATGTAGTATGTACATGAAATTTTGACACACACAGTAAAATGGATACGGACTAGCCAACTAATACCTCCATCATCTCACAGTAACTCTTATTCTTAATGTCAGATTTTTTTTAAAGGTGCTATGTTTACTTCATTTTATTTCAAAGGCTCTTTATTTCAGATCAAAGACTCTTGTTTCAGCTTGGAGGAATAGATGGAACTTTCCCTCTTTGGGTTACTCTTCCATCAAGGGGAAGGTTAAGCCAAGCAGAATAGAATCAAGCTCCTTAGTCACCTGAACTATTGCTGGGAAAGGGTTTTACAGGAAATACTGTTAGCCTTTCTGTAACATCTGATTGCCTATGAACTTTGAACTGTTGTGATCCACGAGCCAGGTCAGAAGGCTGCAGTCCCTTAGGTGATGTGTGGTTGGTTCCAGGCTATAGTCAACGTTCAGCTCTCCTGGAGGGTTGTGTAGGTGTTAGAAGAACTGGTGCTGAGTTGTTTCATGGGAAGGGTCCTGACTGGGAGTCAGAAGACCTGGGTTCCAAATCTGCCTCTCTCACTTAATAGTACTTTATTGTTTATAGAGCACTTTAACACCGTTGTTTCGAATCTGCTATGTGCCCTTAAGATTTGGGAAAATCTTTTGGAATAAAAGATTTAATAAAAAAAAATATGATTTTGGAAAATACCCTCAATTTAAGATAATATGTATGGGTCTAACACATTAGCTCAATTGACTGAGCTTCCACTTCCAGGATCCCATATGGGCTCCAATTCATGTCCCAGCTATTCCACTTCCCATCCAGCTCCCTGTTTATGGCCTGGGAAAGCAGCAGAGGATGGCCCAGCATGAGAAACCTGAAAGAAGCTCCTGGCTTCAGATCAGCTCAGCTCTGGCCATCATGACCATTTGGGGAGTGAACCAGCAGGTGGAAGATCTTTCTCTCTGTAAATCTGCTCTTCTAATGAAAAGACTTTATTTTAAAAAATAAGAATTTATTTAAAAAATAAAAAGTATTTATAACATGTATATATATCATGTATAATTAAGTGGCCAATGATGTGACACAGACTCAAACTATAATTAAGATGTGAAGCTAATTAGTATGAGCTTGGAGCAGTTCTAAGTAAAAGAGACAGAACTTGAATTAGCCTAGAAAGGATTGTAGGATTTAAGTGTGTGTGTGTGTGAGAGAGAGAGAGAGATTGAGGGGACATAGATGTATCTAGAAGAAGGAGCCTAGCATGGTTAGGGGGTGGCAAGACAACTCTCATATCTTGAGCAAGGTCAGGCACATGAGGGGTTGGATGGTCTTGATAGAGAATCTGTGGGCGGAGACTCTAGGACAAGTTTCCCGAGACTCCTGCTTGTCTTGTGTCCCTTTTGGGTCATTTTAACCTTACAATAATGCATGGCTGGACATATTTATGTGTCTGTTCAGAAAGGAGCCCTTCATCCCTGTCCTGTTTTTGTGTCCGTTTTTCTCGTCCTCAGATCCCCACTGAGCCATTAATTGGAGATCAGCCCCAGCACTCGGGGACCGGGGATGAGATGAAGGTGGAACAGTTGTTTCAGGACTTAGACAGTGGACGAGGTGACCCTGTGCAGTCAGACAGCGCTGTCAGCAACTCCGAGAAGTGCTCTCCAGCTATTTCTCAAGGCAGGAGTCCTGAGAGCTTGCCCGCCGTGAAGTCCAGCAGCTCATCCAAGGCATCCCAAGCCGTGCCCCTGACCCCAGAGCAGGCATTGAAGCAGTACAAGTACCACCTCACCGCCTATGAGAAGCTGGAGATCACCCATTACCCAGAAATTTACTTTGTGGGGCCAAATGCCAAAAAGAGACAAGGCGTTGTTGGTGGTCCCAACAACGGTGGGTATGACGATGCAGAAGGGGCGTACATCCATGTCCCCCGAGACCATCTTGCTTATCGCTATGAGGTGCTGAAGATTATCGGCAAAGGGAGTTTCGGGCAGGTAGCCCGCGCCTACGATCACAAACTGAGACAGTATGTGGCCCTGAAAATGGTGCGCAATGAAAAACGCTTCCACCGCCAAGCCGCCGAGGAGATCCGCATCCTGGAGCACCTGCGAAAGCAGGACAAGACCGGTAGCATGAACGTGATCCACATGCTGGACAGCTTCACCTTCCGGAACCATGTGTGCATGGTCTTTGAACTGCTGAGCATAGACCTCTATGAATTGATTAAGAAGAACAAGTTTCAGGGTTTCAGCATCCAGTTAGTACGCAAGTTTGCTCAATCCATCTTGCAGTCTTTGGATGCTCTGTACCGAAACAAGATCATTCACTGTGACCTGAAGCCAGAGAACATTCTCCTGAAGCACCATGGGTGCAGCGCCACCAAGGTCATTGACTTCGGCTCCAGCTGTTTTGAGTACCAGAAGCATTACACGTACATCCAGTCGCGGTTCTACAGGGCCCCCGAGGTCATCCTGGGAAGCCGCTACAGCACGTCTATTGATATCTGGAGTTTTGGCTGCATCCTTGCGGAACTTCTCACAGGACAGCCTCTCTTCCCCGGGGAGGACGAAGGGGACCAGTTGGCCTGCATGATGGAGCTGCTAGGGATGCCACCACCAAAACTCCTGGAGCAATCGAAACGGGCCAAGTACTTCATTAACTCCAAGGGCTTGCCTCGCTACTGCTCCGTGGCTACCCAAGCAGATGGAAGGGTTATGCTTGTCGGGGGACGCTCCCGGCGGGGCAAGAAGAGAGGTCCTCCAGGAAGCAGAGACTGGGGAACAGCACTGAAAGGCTGTGACGACTACTTGTTCATCGAGTTTCTGAAACGATGCCTCCACTGGGACCCTTCTGCCCGCCTAACCCCAGCTCAAGCTCTCAGACACCCTTGGATTAGCAAGTCTATGCCCAGACCTCTCACCTTTGAGAAGGGGTCAGGGAAACGGGTCGTTAATCCTGCAAATGCTTTCCCGGGACTGGGTGCCAAGCTGCCCCCTGTTGTTGGAATAGCCAGCAAGCTTAAAGCTAACTTAATGTCAGAAGCCAATGGCAGTATACCTCTGTGCAGTGTATTGCCAAAGCTGATTAGCTAATGGACAGCAGTGTGTTCAGAGATGCATATGTATGTATTTTTAATTACCTTGAAATGAGAAAAAAAGAGCGCAAACCCATTGGTGGATATGTTTTTGTTAGATTAGACTTCTTTTTATAACAAGGGAAAAAAACCCCACATTTTTATATGACTATGAAAGAACTCTTCAAGGGCTAATTTACCTAACCAGCTTGTGTTGGCCACCTGGAATATACATTAAACGGCTTTTTATAGATCACTGCATCTTTGCTGTTATCGTCAAATGTACTTCAATCTGTGTGTGATCCCATGGGTTTAAATCTCTTTTTCTCTCAAGGTAGAAGGTATACCAAAAAATATACGCTGACTACTTCCTACTGCTGCTTTCCTTCGGTGTCTGTTCTGGCCAGGGTGGGAGCGGGTGGGAGGTAGTTGTGGGTAGAGCACCCCAGGAGGCCTCTCTTTATCCTAAATGAAGGGCTTCCCCACCCCCCAGCAGAATACTGGCCGAGGAAGCTCTTCAGGCCCTGGCTCTCTGAAGTGTGAGCTTTCTGGTTTCTGATGTGGCCGTGCTGCTGTTGTACCGCTGATGTGTTTGCAGGGCACTCCAGGCATTTGCAGGCATTTTACCGCTCGACCACAAAAGTGCTGATTCTAAAGTTCAGTCACATGTGTCCTTCCTTCCTGATAGTCAGGTTCTTGGACCCAAGTGACCCAGATTGTTAGAGGTGGAACCTGTGTGAATCCCGCTGCATGAACCCGCCGGCTTGCTGTGTGGCCCTGTGCTTGCTTCCTTAATGATCACTTGGGCGGGCTCCTGGAAAAGTGCTTAGGATGACAGTTGGGACACCCACATCCCGTGGAGCAGTGTCCATATTCAAGCCCTGGCTCCGTTCCCAGTTCCAGCTTCCTGCTAGGGTGTATCCTGGGAGGCCACAGGTGGCAGCATGAAGAACCGAGTCCTGTGTAGGAGACACAGTAAGCTCCTGGCCCCCAGCTTCAGCTTGGCCCAGCCCTGGATGTCACAAACTTGTCTGTCTCTGTGTCTCTGCCTTTCAGATAAATAAGATTTTTTTTCCCCAGAGTGATCAGATAAACCTCACTGCAGGTTAAATGTTTTCCTTCCTACTTACCCACCGCCTCAGTGTGCCAGATCTTTTCCATTTTCACTTGAATCACAAGAGTATTCCTAATTCTGTGTGAACTTCACTTATAGAAAAAGAACAGCTTTGTTTTTGTTTTTTTTTAGGATTAAAAATTTTTTTTTATTGGAAAGCAGATTTATGGAAGGATGGAGAGACAGAAAGATCTTCCATCTACTGATTCACTCCCCAGATGATCGCAGTGGCCAGAGCTGAGCTGATCTGAAGCCAAGAGCCAGGAGATTCAGGGTCTTGTAGCATCCTCTGCTGCTCTCCCAGGTTGCAGTCAGGGGGCTAGATGGAAAGTGGAACAGCTGGGACATGAACTGGTGGCCATGTGGAATGCTAGTGCTTGGAGGCAGATGATTAACCAATTGAGCTATCATGCCAGCTCAAGAAAACTACTTTGTTTGAAAATCCAGAAACTATTCTTCCCTGCTCCCATTTGTTTTCCTTTATGTGATTCTCTTCAACAGTCTTTCCTCTGTTTAGATTTAAAGGTAAACAGAGAGGATTGAACCTACAAGGAGTTGATGGAATGAAAGGGTGGAGAAGGAACAGTAGCCAGGAGCCCAGAATTTCAATCTGGGTTTTTCATGTGGGTATTAGGCCCCAAGTTTTTGAGCCAACACTCGCTGCCTCCCAGGGTGCATATAAACAGGAAACTGGGATCTGAAGTGGAGCTAGTGCTTGAACCCAGGTACTTCCACATGAAAAGAGGAACAGATGTCCTTAGCAATATCTAAAACCCTGTTCCAAATGTGCTGTGTGCATCTTGCTGGCTGCCAGACACAGGCTAAGCAAAGTGAGAATAAAAGGTCAAGTTTCCCAGCCCCCCGGGGCCAGGCAGCAGCTGCGAGCTCGATCCTCAGCCTCTGGTGATAGAAACTGGATCATTTAAAACCTTTAGCATCACCTTGGCTCTTGGTTTCTGGAGCATTCTGTTTCTCTAACTTCCTCTAACCTTGACAGGGTCCTTAAGCTTGCTGGGAAGCTTAAGAACCTCCCACCTTATCTGGGCAGAGCACGCATGGATGGTGTTTTGTCCGTGGTTATCAGCACAGCAGGACAACTTTTCCAAGCACACTGTTAAGAGTGGCTGCCACAAACACATCTGCCACTTGCCATGTTTCTGTGTGTGTATGTGTGTTTTCAATGAGAGATTGCTGAGGTGGTCACCACGGGCTCAGCTTCTGTTGACTGCAAATTTACTCCATCATTGTAAATTTACTCCAATGTTGAGTGAAAGGTGGTAGCCATGACACTGCAGAGAAATTCTGGGATAGTCTGAAATGTGAAGGGATAGGCTGCTGCCTAAATCTGGAAACCAGGAGTGTGATGCAGAGACAATTCTAGCAGCTTGGTGTGACCATCTTCTGCAGCCAAGTCAAGGCTGGGAAGAGTGGGCTGCTTGGCCCACCGCTACCATGCGTACACAGGGATTTGAGGCGGATAGGTGGGTTTCAAGCATAAGGACAAGATGTGCTGTGTGCTGGCTGTCCTCCAAGCCCTCTGCCGGTCTGTGAGCCACTGTTCAGTTTTTACTCTGGATTCTTGCCCGGCTGTGGCAGGAGTTCAGGGAGAGGCTGAGCTGGATCAGTTAGTGCAGATTCAGACCGTGTCACCCCCCCACCCCGTCCCCCCAGCACTAGATGGTTCTTTGGCCGCTTTTTGTTGGTTGTTTCAGTGCAGTCACATTGGTGAACTTACTGATTTCTATGTTGATGAAGTCAAGGGAATGTCCACATTGGTATTGACAAAGTGAAAAAGGTTGGTTCAGTTTTGTTTAATTGGTTTCTTGTTTTTTTTGTTGTATTTCATTCCTAAAATGAATTAATTTTCCCTTTGATTAAGATTCAGGTTTTTGAAAGGCAGAGTTAGAGAAAGAGGAGGAGAAACAAAGAGGAATCTCCCAGGCACTAGCTCGCTACTTAAATGGCCTAAATGGTTCAGGCTAAGCCAGGCAAAAGCCAGGAGCTTCACCCAGGTATCCCACATGGGTGCAGGTATCCAAGCACTTGAGCCATCCTCCATTGCTTCCCAAGCCATTACCAGGAGCTGTATTGGAAGTAGAGTAGCCAGAATCCACATGGATTAGCAGTGATTTAACCTCCTATGCCACAATGCTGGTCCCCCAATCCTGCTCCCTCTTTTTTCCTTTCAACAAGGGAAATTGGCCAGTGCAGCTCACTTTATTGGCTCTGTCCTCATAGTGTCTGATACATTCACCATGTCATGAGCCATCTGCACAGGCCCACATTTTTACGATGCTGTGGATTAATGGGTTTTTGAAGCATGTGGGCCATGTGCAGATTGGGGAGCCAGGAGCATATACTCCTTTCACGTAGACCCACCAGTCACACTGGCCAATTTCCCTTGTGAGTGCTGCTTTCTGGGGAAGTAGACAAGGATTGGGTGAAACCATTTTCTCCTGTGTTATCTTGATGCCATTGAGGTGTGTAGGTGAAACCAACCAGGGGCTGTGTGGTTGAAGAGAAGGTCTAACCTGGCTCTTCTCTGCTAGACGAGACCAACAGAGGGTTGTCTTCACTGCTAGGTATTTAAGAGGCCTTGGGACAGCCAGGTTAGCTGGCTAATGTTACTGCATTTTATGGAGTTTATCACATGATCAAGCGATAAAAGATGAAACAGAAACCTTAACTGTGAAAAGTTTTGATCTGTAGCAGCTGGGTGTATTAAAATACAGTCTGTTTTGCTTCATCCCCAACTGCGCATAATTAGAGCTGAATGCCAAAGTTTAGGCAGCAGCTTTCCTGATAGAATATTCTTCCTACTCTATTGAGTCATGAAAACATCTTCCTCATTCTAAATTATTTATTTTGCGTCTGTCATTGGATATCATCTGCCACAAAAGTTACAGAGCTGTGAATCTAGAAGCTTCTAGAAGGGTTCTTGGTGCTGCTTCTCTGAGAATTTAAGGGTAAGTGCTCATCTTCTGAGCTAGGAATTGCCTTGGAATCACCAGGATCTTTGTCCTTTCTCTCTCCAGTCTCACTGGAGCTCCCCAGTCTGTGGTCCCTGTAACTTAGCAAGTAGAGAAAAGAGGCAGACAGGTGGAAGAAGAGTTATCCTCTGCCAGGGATTGCTTGTCCCAGTTACACATGTTTTCAGTATCCTCCTTTCCACATGTGCCACTATCAACTTCAAACTAAACTCTGGGAGCCCAAGAATTGAAAAGAATTGACTCCCAGACCCAGGCTTCTGCCGTATTTGATTAGAGATGACCTTGTTCAAGCAGCTTTCAAGTGATGGCTGTGAATTTTAATGAGACAGAATCACAATGAAGTCATCCATGTGAGGACTAAAAGTTCTCTGGTCCCTGGGAGACCTGACCCCTGAGATAGGCCAGAGCTGCAAATACATTGTCTAGACTCCGAAGGGGCAGAAGCTGATTCTTAATATAGCTCAGCCACTGCCAAATCCAACCTAGACGCTAATATTTTCTATAATAGGAGCTTTCCCTACTGGAGAGAGACCAGAAAGGTTGTCACCTCTTCTGCCACAGCACGGATAGGCTACAGAGAGGGTAGAGCCCTAAATCAGGCCATACTGACCCATGGCTATTTCCGCTCAGGAAAGTCAGCCTCTAGAGCAGAAAGTCTGAATCATTTTGATATTGTGGGATTCTACCATTGTTCACGTAGGACCGCTGACACACTTCCTCTGGAAAGCACGGTTTTGTGTGCATGAGTCAGTGGCATATTTTTCTTTTTAATTTTTTAAAAATAAAAATACAAATGAATTGCTTTTTTTTTTCTTTAGCTTCTTAGGATTGGTTTCAAATCCAAAGCTGAAATCGCTCCCAAAAGGACCCAAGTGCCTTACCCTGATGGGCTTACCCTGGAGTGAATGAATGGCAGTCACAGTAGTTGTTGGCAGGTGCAGCCTTGCCAGGCAGATGACAATGACAGAGACAGACGTGCCTGGAAAAGGACATACCAGGAAGGGGAGAGGGAGCAGATGAGCAGCAGCCTAACAGGGATTCAGCCAAGATGTTGTTAGTGGCCTGAGCATCTGCACAGTCTGGTTTGTAAAGCCAGCCCTTGAGAAGACACCATGGGTTCACTGTCTCCCTGGGTGGCTTCGCCCTCGTCAGTGGCT